ACTTGGCACTAACCCCTGCCCTGTCTTGGCATCTTCATCCACTTTGCTCCTTTGCATGCCTGTGTATATTTGCATATGTAAATAAGACTCCCTCTTTGTGCACGATCTACTGTCAGAAAATGCAAGATTCTGATTCTGGTCTATTTAGTTTAGCTAATCTTGATGTTAGCCAGAAAGGTCCAGCAACCTTTTAGGAGACCAGCCTCGGAGTGGGTTGGGTTCCACGTTCTCCAAAAGGAAGACTCAGTGGAGAATTTGGTATATGATAAGTCAGCAGTGGTGCTTTTACCCCCCGAGTACGTATATACATACACACTCACACATGTCCGTACACATGCACGAACACACAAGCATGTATGTAGGTACACATGCATGCATGTATATATTCAAGTTGTGAGGGACCCTGCCAAGACTTCAGCCCGTCAGACGTCCCCACTTCTGTTGACTTATGGGGGAATGAATGATGCTATCAGCAGGAATCTGGGCTCTATCTCTAGAGGGGGTTTGAAGGAATTTTGGCTAGGAAACTGATGGAGTTGGGTGCCCAGGTGGTGTTTTCGCTTCTTCTTCCTGCCGGTGGTTGTGACAGAAGAAGAGAAAGCAGTAGATAGGGAGGGAACAGCTGGCAATATAAATGGTGGGGAAGAGAAGGATTTGGTTTCCTGGAACCCGGCCTGTCGTTCCAGAATGATGGGCAAGGAACGAAGTGTGCCTGCCTCCCCTGCTTGTGATAAAGAGTGTCATCATGAGATCGTGGCTTTAGAATTGGAAGGCATCTTCCCAACCAGCTCCTTTACTTTACAGGTGAAGAAACTGTGGTCCAGAAAAATGATGAGACTTGTCTAAGGTCACACACGAGTTGTAAGTTATTGGTATATGTGTTGTACTCCTCTACTTCTTGACATCCTAGCTGTATGACCCTGGACAAGTCACTTAACCATGTTTGCCTCAGTTTCCTCATCTGTGAAATGAGGAGATGGCAAACCACTCTAGTATCTGTGCCAAGAAAACCCTAAATGGGGTCACAAAGTGTTGGACGCAACTGAAATGATTGAACAACAAACAAAAATTAGACAGTGAGCTCCATAAATGACCATATCTTGTTATTCTTTTTCTGTTTAGTCAGGTTAAGGACCAAATCATGGGCCTTTGTAGATTCCCTAGCATCTAACACAGCAGCCCAGGATATGGTGCAAAGAACACTGCTTATGGAGGCAAAGCCCTGGGTTCAAATCCCGGCTTTGTGACTTGCGTGCCATTTGGTTATGAGCTGGCCAGGTCAGCTCTTTAGGTCCTGGATTCCCTCTCTGAAATGAGAGGCTTGAGCCAGATGTGAGCCAGATAATAAGCCCCTGCAGCTTTATCCTATAAGCCTGGGCTGCTCTGGAGTATATAATAGATGCATTGTAAGTATTTGCTGAAGTATACCAAGAAGCAAGATGCTCAATTTTGAGAGGACTGAAGGAAAAACAAGCCCAAATAAAACTGGAAGTGTACGTACCCTTTCCCACCCCTGCTTTTCTTTGAAGTAGCAAAGACCTGGATTCAAAACATGCCATAGATTGGGGAATGGCTGGATAAAGTGTGGCACATAGCTATGATGCTGTAAGAGACAGACCCCCGTGGGAAGACTTAGGAGAACAGGTACTAAGTGAGGTCAGCAGACCCAGGCAAATAGTAAACAGCATTGTAAATGGAATGCACTTTACAGTCCAGCCACGATGGACTTTTTGTTCTTCTTGGCATATGACACGCCCATCTCCTAGCTCCAGGCCTTTGCACCCGCGGTGCCCCATGCCTGGAATGCTCTCCCTCTTTACTTTTGCTTCCTGCCTTCCCTAACCCTTCTTAATCCCAGTGCCCTCCCCTCTGTTAATAATTTCCTATTTCTCCTGTATAGAGCTTGCTTTGTATATATTTGTCTGCATGTTCTCTCCCCCATTTGATTGCAGGTTCTTTGTAGGGTCTGTGTTTTGTCTTTTGTATCCCCAGTGCATAGGTGATGAGGTGGGACATTACAGATACGGAATGCTAAATACAATTTTTTTTTTTGGTCAGTCAGCAAACATTAAGTACATTCTCCGTGTCAGGCACCATGCTAAATCCTGGGGAATCATCACACTTGGTTTGTGTATTAGTTGGATTTGTTGAGATTTTTCCCTTTTTCTTTTTTGTTACAAGATGGCTCTTGAGAAGGAATTTATTAGTAAAAAGATAGTAATACTGCTTTAAAAACACCCGGGAGGTGTGAAAGTTAGAGGTCAGGCAGGGATGTTGTAGAAGAAATCCCAGAAGTTGTGGAAAGCTGGACGGAATGACCTCTCACTTGCTTTCAGTTCCAAGATGGTGAGTTTGTGCGAGAGGCATCGGGGATTGGGCGCTTAGAGCAGCTCCAGCCAGGCCGGCAGCCACCTGGGAACACAGAGGAGAAGCCGCGCTCAGACCCCGCGCTCAGGTTCATATTCCACTAGGGCAGGTGTCTGTGGGCCGCGGCCGGCCATAGTCTCACGGCTGGCTGCATAGGGAGCAGTTAGTTAGGTAAGCCATTCATCCTGTGGGGAGATGGCAGAGAAATCTGTTCTGCGCTCTTGTTCGCCACCAAGGGCGAGGGCAAGTTAGCAAACTCAGAAGTGTTTGCAAAATCAAACAGACAAAGAAACAAAAAACATCCCTCCCTCCAGCGGAGGACCAAATGCTGGGTCTTGGACTTCATCTGCAGCCCAGGAGAGCATCCCGTGAGGAGGCCCGGGAAAGAAAGACCTGATTTAGAGGGTTGAAGAAAAGAGCGACTAAGAGAAGTTTGAGGGTTTCCTTTCCCTTATTTCTGGAGGATTCCAGGAAACTTCTGTCTGTCCAGGCTGTGCTTCCTAGAGATGGGGTGTTATCAATTAGGATCACCTGAGAAAGATTCTTCCAAGCCAGGGATTCTCCATGCGTTGAGGATGTGACATTTGACTCCTGGAGTCAGCGGTATGGCCTAGCCATGAAAACTCCTAGATGAGATTGTTGGCAAGTGATCTATCTGCTTGATCTCAGGAGAATTAGAATTCTAGCGGATAATAAAATAATCACCATTGCCTGTTGCTACTAAGAAAATCTTGGCCATGTGTTACTCTTGTGATGTATATTAAGAGACTTCATCTATATCCTCCACCTGACTGGGTGGTTTGTAGTGTGAATCCCAAACTCTATCCCAGAGGAAAACTGCCCTTGAGTTGAGTGGTTTTTTTAATGGGTCTCTGACAGGGGGAATGTGGACTTGAATGTGAGGCTGCTCCTTTGCCAGAGGTCAAGGGAAGGGCCTAGCAAGGGGACGTCGAGTTGATTCCAGCTGTGATTCTAAGAGGGTACAGCTCAGCCAGGCAGAGGGCAGAGTCTCCATGGTCCTCTTCTGTTCTGACATCCTCTGGTTCTATGATTTGCATGAGTTCTTGGGAGAACCTGGACTTGCCTGAGGTCATTTGGTCCTGCATCCTGCCACCAAGACAGGTTGCCCTCCAAGCATCATAGATGTGAGGGTTTCTACCAGCTAATGGAGGAATTGTACGGAGTCAATAAACTGCTGTGTAACAAGCACCTGCCATCTTTAAAGCAATATGTCAATGTGTAGTGGTGGTGGTGGTGCTAGTAGTAGGAGTAGGAGTAGTGGTGGTGGTGGTGGTGGTGGTGGTGGTAGGAGTAGGAGGAGTCGTGGTGGTGGTAGTAGGAATAGGAGTAGGAGGAGTAGTGGTAGTAGGAGGAGTCATGGTGGTGGTGGTGGTAGTAGGAGGAGGAGGAGAAGGAGTAGTAGTAGGAGGAGGAGGAGTGGTGGTGGTAGTAGTAGTAGGAGGAGGAGAAGGAGTAGTGGTAGTAGTAGGAGTAGTGATGGTGGTAGTAGTAGTAGTAGTAGTGGTAGTAGTAGTAGTAATGACTCAAGCCAGTGACCCCTGGTCACTTACTAAAAGTCTTTTCTTCTGTCCAATCCAAATCTCTTTTTCTCTGGCTGTTTGAACTTATTTCAGCCTCTTGGGTAACGGTGGTGAAGAGCAGGCAGGTGGCTTAACATTTTTTTTTTATTGACATCTTTCGTCTTTATATCATCCTCATTTCTGAATGTATCTCTTCTGCCTGCCCCACCCAGCAAGTCAGCCCTTGTAACGAAAAAACACCCCAAACAACCCCCCCAACCAACAACAAAAAACAAACCCAAAAAACTTATTAATTGGAAAAAATTATGAATCTAAATTTTGAAAAAGAATGAGATATTAGCTTAGAAAATGACTTGGGTGAGGAAGAAGCGGCGTGTTAGTACCCACGAGCGGCTCCGAGGCACCGCGTGCTTTCCTGGCAACAAAGCAGAGCGCGACAAGTGTAAAAATAAGAGAGAAAGAGAAGGGACAAGACAGAAAGGCAGTATATGCAGCGTTCCACACCCATAGCCCCCCACTTCTTCAGTGAAGGCGGAGGCATATTTCCGAGCAAGGTTGGGCCTTCTGCCCTTGGTGACCCTTCAGAGAGCGTGTAGTCTTCCTCCCCATGTTTCTCATCTCCCCCACCACCTCGAACTTTTTGTTTTTTAAAGTCATGGTAGAACTGGATGAAGTGGGAGCTGGGTTCAGATCCCAGCTCTTCCACTTAGACCTTTGTATCTGTACATTTGAACACTGAGGGGCTGGACTAGCTGTTCCCACAAATCCCTTCTATCTCTAAATTTGTTTAGAAGATACTGGGTGGAGCAGTGTTGGACCTGTCTGGAGGATCTGCGTTCAAATCTTCCCTCAGACACTGATCGGCCGTGTGACCCTCGGCAATTCACTTAACAGCCTTCAGCCTCAGTCTCCTCACCTGTAAAACGGGAGCAATCCCAGCACCTCCCGCCACGGGAGGCCCTTTGCAGACCTCCAGCTGTGGTTCCAGGCCCCTTTAATGTTCCGGGCTTTCCCGACTCGCCCCTCCCTCAGCCTGCTCAGCAGAGTGAGGTCCTGCTTGGTTAATTCTCTACTTTCCGGGCTTCCCGACAGGCCAAACTGGTGCGGTACATCAGCAAGCAGCGGCAGTGCAAGCTCAGCGTGGCCCCCGCCGAGCGGACGGTGGAGCTCAACAGTTACCCGCGCTTCAGCGACTGGCTGTACACCCTGAACGTCAGGACCGAGGTGGCGCAGGTGAGCGCTCCGGCCGGGAGACGCTGGGGTGGGGCTGCCGCGGCATTCGGGGCCGGGCGCGGGGGAGCTACCCGGAGAGGCAGAACGGGACGGGCAGTATGACCTCCGCTTTATGGAAAAGGGGCTGAGTCCCAGAGAAGTAGAGCGATTTGGAGTCGTGCGAGCATCAGAAGTTGGATTTCATGCAGTTTGTCCCAATGTTCAGTCTAGTCCCCCCTCCGTGCCCTCCCCGGGCCTCTTAGAGAATTGAGAGGTAGAAGGAGCCTGCGATATTATCTAGCGGTTTCAAGTCAATCAGGCCACACCTTTTTCTTAATTAGTTAATTTATTTTTAGTTTTCAACATTCACTTCCCATAAGCTTTTTTTATTTTTATTTTATTCATTTATTGATTTACTTACTCATATTTATTTGATTATTCATTCATTCATTCATCTATTTACTTATCTATTTATCCATTTTTTCATTTATTCATTCATTCATTCATTCATTCATTTATTTATTTGTTAGGCAATTGGGGTTAAGTGACTTGTCCAGGGACACACAGCTAGTAAGCGTCAAGTGTTTGGTCTGAGGCTGGATTTGAACTTAGGTCCTCCTAACTTCAGGGCCGGTGCTCTATCCACTCCACCACCTAGCTGCCCCCAAATTATTCTTGTAGATTTAGTGGATTTTTCTCTTACCCTGCCAGGCTGTTTGACATCTGCCCCTCTGTAGGGGTCTGGCACTGTCTGGATCTGTCTTCATTGAATGACCTGAGATACCAACATTAGGGACGGAGGTGGGGGTGGGGATAGGGAGGAGAGTTAAAGACCCGGGGTCCTATCTGTGTGACCTTGGGGAAATCACTTAACCTCTTTGGGCCTCAGTTTCCTTATCTGTAAAATGAGGGAAGTGGGTGAGATGGCCTCATAATTGGGCTGGGGAAAATGGGATAAATGCTGCATGAAAGATCCCCCCGTGTTTGGCCTTCACCGATCATAGTAATAACAGCTAACATTTGCATAGTGCTTTCAGGTTTGCAAAGGGCTTTCTATCTATTATGGGATCTTAGGTTTATTTAGAGCTAGAAGGGACCATCTACTCTAACAATCTCACAGGAAAACGACACACAGCTAAGTGACTTGTCCAAGATCACACAACTAGTCAGTGTCTAAGGTAGGATTTGAATTCAGGTCTTCCTGAGTTCTCTATCCACCCATCCTTCTGCCTCCCTCTTGGATGCGTCCTTAAGGAATGGAAGTGACCTTGGCTTCTCAGATGATTTGCCAGTGGTCTGCCAGCCCTGGCTGGTTCCCAAAGCTGGAACGGCTTCGAATGTGGGCCCATGAGGGTCTGGGTGTCTGTTGTCTGGGTATCAGCCTGGCTAGGTCTGGAGAAGCCTAATAAACTAAGTAAATTAAGTAGAGTGGAAGTAAATCAAAGAGAGAGCTAAGCTAAGGGATCTTGGGGTATGCTTATATGTATGGGAGAGGAGGAAGAGGGGGCATCAGAAACAGAGGAGGGGCTTGACCCTGCATGGGCTGTCTGCACGGAACCCAAGCGAGGAGAAAATTTGAAGAAAGGTAGGGCAGCCTGCCAAGTCACGTGCTGCTGAGAGAGGCGGAGGAAATGAGGACTGAGGCAAGTCTGTTGTCACTGGGGGGTTAGGAGGTGATGAGCTTGGGGAAAATAGAGCGGGCAGTGGGGCAGCAACCAGTTGGAAAGGAACTCCAAGGTGCCCAGCTGCAAAGGAAGTGGCGTCAGCAAACAGACCGTTTTTCCAAGAAATTTATCGGTAAAGGAGGAAGAGGAGCATTAAAGGAAGCCCTTTACAGAATTATGGGAGACCTAACTATGTGAGAGGGGCAGTGTGGAATCTGGAGATCTGGATTTTGAGTACCATTTTGTGTCTTTACTCACTATGTGGCCGTGGGAAGGTCCCTTAACCCCCAGATGCTCAGTTTTCTCATCCACGAAATGGGGGTGATGTATATATACACTGCCTACCTCATGGGGTCATCATGAGGAAAGTGTTCCTGTAAACTTCGCAGTGCCAAGTAAATGTGTTCTTATTATTAAGGCATCCAGCATGTGATTTGTAGGCCATTACGGTCCGCCTGACCTCACGGTGTGGCTTGCCTGAAGGTTTTTTGCAATAATAATAATTTGAAGAAAAAAAAAGACCCTGATTAGCACACCTGAACCAGTTGGCCAGTGGGACCCAACCACCTGCTGGCCCTATCCATTGTCTAATTGGCTGCTGCCAGGTGCTGTGAGCAGGAGAGAATTAATTGTTAATTATGAGGGTAAAATATTCATGTGGTTGGCACAAGTGGGTTTCTGATCCTGGATCCCGTTATTGGGGGTGGAGGGGCGGGAGGAATCAGACACTCTTGGCCTTGGGGAAGAAGCTGCTAGACAAGAGAGAAAAAAATGAAGCGAAAAGAGGTGGAGGTGATGGGTGGAGCTAGGTCCAATAGGAGCAGCAAAGCCAATTGTGCGAGCAATTTAATGTGAAATTGAATGGGTGGTGCAGAGAGAATGCTGGACTGTCCAGTAGGGGATGACGATGACGACAATGATGACAATAAGTGGCATTTTTATAGCACTTCGAGATTTGTGGAGTATTTTATGAACACCATCTCATTTTATCCTCATTACCCTGGGAGGGAGGTGCCATTATTGTTTCTATTTTACAGAAGGTGAAAGTGAGCCAGACAGAGGTTAAGGGGCCTGCCCAGGGTCCTGCAGCTAGGACGTGTCCGAGACAGGATTTGAACTCAAGTCTTCCTGACTCTAGGCTCAGTGCTCAGAGATCTGTGTTTACGTCCCAGTTTTGCCATGAACTAACTCTGTGACTTTAGTCAAGTGCGTTCAACTTGCTGGACTTAGTTCCTGCTCATATCACTCCTCCCTTTTTTGGCTAAACACCTTGGGAAGGCCACCTATAATCGATGCCTGTACTCTCTTCTCTCTCGCTCTCTCTCTCGCTCTCGCTCTCTGCCAGACTGAGCTTAAGTGACTTACCCAGGGTCATATAGCTAGTAAGTATTTGAGGCCGGATTTGACTTCCTTACTCCAGAGCTGCTGCTCTAGTCACGGAGCCACCTAGTTGCCCCTATAGATAATCTCTTCATGGCTGCATTTCCCAGCTTTTTCTCCATTTTCATCATGCTTGACCTCTCAAAGCCTTTGATATTATTGATTCCCCTTTTCTAGATGTTCTCTTTTCTCTAGGTTTTCATGAACTCTCCTGCTTCTCCTCCTGTTTGTCTGACCCTTTTTGTCTCCTTTGCCAGATTCTCAGCCATGTCGTGCCCGTTGGTGGTGGGTGTCCCCCAAGGCTCATTCCTGGGCTCTCCTCTCTTCTTCCTCTATACCATTTTCAGGTGGTGATCTCATCAGCTCCCATGGTTTCAACCATCATCTCTACACATTTGACTTTCAGGTCTCTTTGTCTACCCCCAACCTCTTTCCTGACCTCCAGTTTCAAATCTCTGGCTGCCATCTTTCTTTTTTTTCTTTTTGCTTTTTGGTGACGCAATTGGGGTTAAGAGACTTGCCCAGGGTCACACAGCTAGTGAGTATCATGTGTCTGAGGCCGGATCTGAACTCAGGTCCTCCTGACTCCAAGGCTGGAGCTCTATTCACTGAGCCACCCAGCTTCCCCTGGATGCCTGGATTATTGAAAGAGCCATCTACTTGATCTTTCTTTTCCACTCGCTGGTCAAACTGATGGTCCTAAAGCTCGGGTCTGATCGCATCACCCTCCATTCCTGTTCCATAAACTCCAGTGGCTCCCTATTACTTCCAGAATCAAATATAAAATCTTCTCTTTGTCTCTTAAAACCCTCCGTGACCCGGCCCCTTCTTACCTTTTCAGTCTCAGACCTTCCTCCCCTCCACATACTCCGAGATCCAGTGGTACTGACCTCCTTTGCTTTTCCTGGTAGATGATGCACCATCTCCTGACTTGGAATTTCTACCGGCTGTTCCCTGTTCTTGGAACCCTCTTCCTCCTCATCTCTGCCTCCTGGCTTTTCTGGCTTCCTTCAAGTCAAATCTGAAGTCAGCATTTTCTGCAAGAAGACTCTCTCAGTCCTCCTTAACCTTAGTGCCTTCTCTCTGACGGTAGCCCCAGTTTATCCCATGTATTTTTTGTTGGTATGTAGTTGTTTGCATGTTCTCCTCCCCCATTAGACTGTGACCTCCTTGAGATCATGGACAGGCTTTTACCTTTCTTTGTATCCCCGTCACTTAGCTTAGGGCCTGGCACAGTGTAAGTGATTAATAAATGCCTATTGACTGACAAATAGTACCTAACATGAATTGCCAATTATTCTGCAAGACCATTTTACCCTTCCCCTCCCTTCTTCCCCATCATTACTCTGCTGTTCAAAGCCTTGGTAACTGGAGAAAGAGAAGATTTTGTGATATTCTTTGCCTTCCCCCTCCTGCCATTTTCTTATTTCTGATTATGTTCCTCCCTCCTATCCCATCCAGTGAACTTTGTTACCCTTGAAACAAAGATTAAAAACCAAAGAGGATGAAAAAGTCATTTCAGCTAGATCAACTGACGCATCATTTGTGTCTGACAGTATGTATCTAGCCCCCTAGACTGAGAAGGTGGGAGGGAGGTTCATGTTCTCAGCTCTTCCTAATAGGCTTATATTCACGTGGAAACTGGGAGCTTCCTAGAAGACATGCCAGTATCCAGGCATACCAGGAGCAGCCTAGTAGTAAGAAGAGAGATGGGGAGGGGAGAAAGAGAGAGAGAGAGAGAGAGAGAGAGAGAGAGAGAGAGAGAGAGAGAGAGAGAGAGAGAGAGAGAGAGAGAGAGAGAGAGACAGAGAGAGGGAGAGAGGGAGAGAGACAGAGAGAGAGAGGGAGAGACAAAGGGAGGGAGAGACAGACAGAGGAAGAGAGAGGGAGAGACGGGGGGAGAGAGAGGGAGAGAGAGACAGAGAGAGGGGGAGAGAGAGAGGAAGAGAGACAGAGAGGGAAAGGGAGAGAGAAAGG